TGAATGCTGCAGAATGAAGTATCATATTGTTTATGTGTATTTATGACATCTAACCCAGAAAGAACCTGTCGCTACAGTGAGCATGCTCAGATTTCAGCTTTCACTAGTACACATCTGCCCATGAGACTGGAAATGGCTTTATCCTCCCCTGAACCTCATAGGGAAAGGCAGATGATCTGAACAAAACTGGGATTTGGTGAGAAAGAACCGCAGTGTTACTGCATGACGTTTCTTACAAACGTTCCTCCAGACTTCAGACTACCATCCAAACTCTCTACTAGGGCAGCCAAAGTCCCTCCAGACCTGGGCCAAATGTCTCTTTAGAGCTGACACTCTAGATCCTGTTAACAAGGTTCAGCCACAATGAACATGTGGTCTTTCTCAAATCAAGCTATTCACTGTTAGAGCTCCATGCTTTGGGACATGATAGATCCTCACATTGTAATGCCCTCAGCTCCTCTCTGCCCACAGACATCATAGATACTGTCCAAAGCTAAGATTTTTGTATCACCTCTGTAAGTTCTTCTCTGATCCCTTGATCAGCAATAATTGCTCCTGCCTTTCTGTCCCCTTGCACTTAATTTGTCAGCGATTTCAGTTCTTACATCCACTGATCTGATATGATCGCTGTTTTCACGTCCACTCTCCTCTCTACAGGGTGATCTTACTGACCACAGTAGCACCTCCTTCTCCACGGTGCCTCACAGAAGATGTGTCCATGAGAGTTTGTTGACTTTCGTTGAATAGTTTCTGTTTTCTCCTCAGTGAAGTTTAAGATCTGGGGCCTGCACTTTCACATGAGCAATGAAAGCGTTAGTCAGGATGAATGCTGGCTGCCATCTTTCTTTTCCTAATTTTTCAATGACTTCTGTGCTAAGCCAACCTTGTTGTTGTTTTATTTCCATGCCTCAGCCAGCATCTGCTCCCAAGTGGCAGGTCCATTGGTGAATGCTTCCACTTTTGCTCTCTGACCACAAAAATGCGCCTTCGTTTGAAGCCCTTCTGTTAGATCGACACCAAAATGTTCTTAAATAGTATTTTTTAGAACAGCAGTGGTGCTTTACCACAAGAGTGGGATTTATGTAGATACAGGCTGGTTACAAGCTAAGCAGCACAGACCCATAAGAGGAACGGAGCTCAGCTTTGACGAACTTCTCTAATCCCCTCTCTGGTCTCCGTCTTTCACTGCAGTTACCGAAGGTCGGTTGTTTCCTGGTAAGAAACCTCAGAACTCAGATAACTTTGTTGCCAAACCAGGGAAGGCGTGCTCAGACTTGCCAGTGATCTGGACACCAGTCTTGCAATACATGAAAAATGTCTTGAAGGATTACAGAACTTGATGACTGTGGTAACCTCTGATAAGTGATTCAAAGATGTTTGGGAGTGGAGAGGAGTACTTTTTCTTCTCATCTTCTGTAGTTTTTACCCTATATTATTTGTATCATTAAAAAATGAAACAAAACAAAAAAAAAAAAACGTCAAAGACAAACAGATGTTTCTGGGGAAGAGATGGGTATATACAATTTTGGCTACTGGAGAGTCATTGAGAACTTGCATGGTTACCTTGTTTGTGACATCAAAGAGAAGTTAATAATATTGGTAGTCAAAATCACCAAAATATTATCCTAGCCTATCGAGCTGAACTGGGAAGCAGCACACAGAAGGTTCTAGCATAGAGTCAGACCACACCCATGTGACAGTCCACATCCTATCTCCCATGGGCTGTGCTGTCCACTTCCCATGCAGCCCCTCTCAGGATTAAACTGCCACCAAGTCCTATCAGCTACCTCCTGAAAATCTCCTAAGTCTGTCCCCTTCTCTCCATCTCTACAGCCCTGCCATCCATCCAGCCACCAACACGTCTCTTAGGATGACTGCAATGGCCTCCTAACCTAATTGCCTGCATCCCCTCTGGGTAGGAAAGGCTTTGGATCACTCAAACCCTGCACATTCCAAAGGAAGGCCCATCTTCAGAACTGGACTTTGGCCAGCTTCTGGGAGCTGAGCTCTAAGCCTTTGGAATATTCTAAGAGTGTTCCTATATGCCTGAGGTCTTGGGCCACCTGTACCAGTTTGGCTACATGAGTTGATCCTAGCAGTGTGGTTTACAGTGAATGCCTGTGTTTGCTCTGGGGATGGGACAGGGGTGCTAAGGTAGAGGTCGGTCACATGGGTGCTCCATGCCTATGTGACAACCCCCAATAAGAAACCCAGACACCAGGGCTAGGGGGAGCTTACCTGGTTGGCAACTTCACACATGTTGTCACACATGGTTCCTGGGTGAATTAAATGTGTGTCCGTGTGACTCTACTGGGAGGGGATGCCTGGAAGCTTGCTCCTTGTTTCCCCTGGACCTCACCCCCTGCACCTTTTCCCATTGCTGAATTTAATCCGTGTCCTTTCGCTGTAATACACCATAACCGTGTGTGTGACAGCATCTGAGTCCTATGAGTACACACCCTTGTATCATTTCTAATCCACTTTCATACTGCAATTAATGCTCATTACACAGTGTAATTCTGATCATGTCAGCCCTTGAATAGAGCCATTCAGTGTCTCCCCATGAACCCCAGAATACTGACCTAGATGTGTAGCCCCCATATGGCATGACCCCGCTTAATTCCCCAGCCTTGTGGCACACTGTGGCTCCTATTGTCTCCCAGGTTCCAGCCTGTGGATTCACTTTAAGTTTACTGAACGCGCAACACTCCCTCCTGCCTCAGTGGTGTCTCCTTCTCCTAGGGAAGCCTACTGTTTCTTCTATCTCAGCTCAATCATCACTTCCCTATAAGAATTTTCTAACCTCCCAACTGCACCAAATCCTTCTCCTGCTGCAACAAATACCTCTTCTTCTTCTTTCTCATCACAGTGGTAATTTTACATTATTGGTCTGATCACTTGATTGACATGGGTCTCCCTCACTAGGCTTCAAGTGCTGTAAGTCTGTCTGTGTTTACTACCATTGGGTCCTCAAGGCCTAGTTTAATTTTTGACATGTAGTAGGCTCTAGGCTATCAATCGATAAATAAATATATCTCGAATAAATAAGTAAGTATATAACGAATATTCAAAAAGTGTCTCTTGAATGAATGAGTAAATAGCTGACTCTTTGGAGGAAATCTTTTGGCTGAGGACCAAATGCAGTCAAATTTTCAAGAGGAAGAGCAGGGAGAAACCCACACAAGGAAGGAGACGTGTATAACTGTCTATATTTTTATGTATGGGCTGCTAACCAAAAGGTCAGCAGTTCGAATCCACCACCTGCTCTTTGGAAACCCTATGTGGCAGGTCTATGCTGTCCTATAGGGTCACTGTGAGTTGGAATCAACTTGACGGCAATGGGTTTGGTTTTAATTTTGGTAGAATGAATGTCTAAAAGTGGAATTACTGGACCAAAGAGAAGGTAGATAGGTAGGTAGATTTACATTTGGTAAATATCCCCAGTTTATCTTCCAAAAATGTTCTACCTCTTCATGCTTTCACCACCAAAGCTTGAGAAAGTCTGTTTTCTCCCATGACAACCCTGAGTATTATCAAAATTTGGAAACTTTGAAAATCAGAGCAATGAAAACATTGTCTGATTGTTATTTTAAGCTTCGTTTTTTAAATTATTAGTTCTACCTGGCAATAAATAAAAGGAAAACGCGGCCTCCTTGTTGTGAAAGCAAGCCGCCTGCCAAATATATCTTCACCCGAACAAACAGGTTAGTAAATGGGCACAGTTAAAAATATATAAGATACAAGAAAATACTAGCCTAAAGGACTACAGGACCAAATGAACCAGAGATTCCATCAGCCTGAGACCAGAAGAACTAGATGGTGCCCAGCTACCACCCATGATCGCCCTGACAGGGAACACAACAGAATCCTGGACAGAGCAGGAAAAAAGTGCTGAGCAGAACTCAAATTCATGTAAAAAGACCAGACTTAATGGTCTGACAGAGACTGGAGGAACTCCCGAAACTATGGCCCCTGGATGCCCTGTTAACCCAGATCTGAAACCATTCCTGAAGCCCACTCTTCAGATAAAGATTAGACTGGACAACAGGGCAAAAAATTAATACTCGTGAGGAGAGTGCTTCTTCGTTCAGTCAGATACACGAGATCAAATGGGTGCCTCCTGTCCGCAGGCAGGGTGAGAAGGCAGGAAGGGACAGAAACTGGTTGAATGGACACAAGAAACGCAGGGTGGAAGGGGAGAGTGTGCTGTCACATTGTGGGGATTGTAACTAATGTCACAGAACAATATGTGTATACTTTTTTCTACAAGAAATCTACCTATCTATATCTATTTAATCTGTCTATATATAAGGTACAGTAAGTTTCTGCGCCTGCACAAACGTAGACCACAGAAGCCTCTGGTCCCCTGGCTTTCCTGGGACATCCCCTTAAAGTTCTACCATTTCCTGATAGGGAAGGAGCCGGAGAAGCATCCGATGATGCATTAGGATAGGTGTCAGCACCTTAGTGCTCTTGCCCCGCTCTCAGAGAAAACAACTACACAGCCTTAAAGTGCTGAAAGTGTATTTGGGTGAAGCTCCAAAGAGAAATGCAGTCAGTGTAGCACTGGGGTCGTTCAAAAGAGACTGTAGGAAATGCAGGGTTGTCAGCGTTGCCACGCGTGCACCGAGGCATGTTGGCCGAGATGAAGTCCCAATCGGCCGTGCTTGCCACCAGGAGGCACCCTCGACCCGGTGCGCGCCCGGCTGGGGGTCGCGGCTCCGCCGGTCCTCGGGCTGCGCCGCCTAGATGCGGTCCAGGTGCGGCCCGCGGGGAGGAGGGACTTCGGGAATAGGGACCGAAGGACAAAAGGGGAGGGACGGAGGAACGAAGCAGGAAGGAGGAGGGACAGAGGGAGGGACCCGGATGCCGGCCCACTTCTCGATCAACCCCAGGCTGTCCCAGCCTCCCCGCCCCAGTCCCGCCCAGGTGGGTGGGTCCGGAAGGAGTGGCCGGGCATCGCCCAGGTGGGTGGGTCCCGGACAGGGAGGCAGACGGCTGGGAGGAGGGACCCGGACCGCATCTCCTTCCCACAAGCGCTGCCGCATCCGCCAAAGCCCCGCTGAGCCCCACCAGTCCAGGTGACCGCGGACTCCGCGCGGGCGGCCCGCGGGGGGCGGGGAACCGGCGCCCAGGAGGGACGTGGGGGCCCTGGGCGGGACGTGGGGGCCCTGGGCGGGACGTGGGGGGCCCGGGCCGGGCCGGCTGTCGCCCAGTCCTCTCCTTGAGGGCCGACTCGCGGCTCTCCTTCCCAGGACTCGAGGGTCACGGTGACAGGGACGTGGGCGCACACTTAGTCCCCGGAGGTCGGGTTGATCAGGGAGAGGGAGAGGGAGGGACGCTCGCGGAACTCGGAAGCCAGACGGGCTGAGTCCGGGCGGAGGTGCACTAAGGTGGGAGAGAGTTCTGGAAGAAGGGGAGCCGGATCCCCGCTGGCCGGCGTGGAGCCAGGACGGAGGAAGGAGGCCAGCGTGGCCGGGAGTCGTGTCTCACTAAGTTCCCCTTCTCTCTAAGCGAAGCCTGGGTCAAGGGCTCCACTGCGGGAGTTGTTGGCAAGTGAGCCCAGCAGCCGGGGAGGAAGTGGGGAGACTGAGGCAGAAGGAGGGGAAGCCGGTGAGTGTGTGACTGAGGGGTCAGCCACTGTGCCTCAGGGCTCCTATTCCTCTAGGGCCCCCCCGCCCAGGCACTTGGTAGCACCCGCACGACAGCGGCTGGCACCGTCCACTGGGTGAAGCTGGCCAGGTGTCGGCTCTCCCAGCCCCTTCCACCCACAGACCCAAAGCCTTGAGTGGGCAGGAGAGGCCGCCACACCTGGGTCGTGGGAATGGGGCACCGACACCGTAGTGTCTGCTTTGCCGTCCTTGTAATGTGGGAACACTAGAAGAGCAGTGACCACAAATGCTCGCATTTGCTCAGGCCTCACTGTGTTCGGGACCTTGAGCCCGAGCCACGCCCTCTTATCTGTGAGCTCCTGACCTTCACAAACCCTCCTCCAAGGACAGAGTGCTCTCCTATATAGACGTGAAATTGATGACAGTTTATCCAGAGAGCTGCTTTGAAGGGACTAAAGAGCCCGACGCTGGATGAAAGACCCCCAGAAACCCCAGGATGCTATCCTAACAAAGGCAGGGTGTCCCCAGCTTGGCTGGAAACGCCTTGAGCACAATGCAGTTTCCGGCAGGTCCCTGACCTTCCATCCAAAGACATAAAATACTAAGTCACCTCACATCCATCAACCTACCTGGCCAGGATCAACCAGGCCCCAGAACCTGCCCCCCACCTCTGTTCTGGGTCACCACCACCACCACCCAGTACTGTCATCAGCAAAACCACTGTCTTTCTTTCTTTAACACTTTCTTCTTGTCTCAGGAGTCTGCACAAGCGCCTCCCTTTGCAGGAAGGCCTTTGTCTCTAGTATTCCGGGTTTCGGCTTAATGTCACTTGCTCACGGAGGACTTTCTTGTCACCCAACCTTCGGTAGCCTTGCAGCCACTCCACTTCATTTTCATCATAGCAATGATTACTTGCTGTGGTTTGTTTGTCTGCTTATCTCCTGGTTCATCTTCCCCCTGTGAAATATCACCCTCCTGAGGACAGGGGCCTTGCCTTTTTCTTCCCTGCTGCACCCCCCTGTGCTAGAACAATGCTTGGCACGCAGTGGGGAACCCAGTGCATACTTTTTGAGTGAACTCATGCAGTGGTTGCTTTTTCACCTCTTCCTCTGTCTGTTCTCACCAGGCTGAGCCTCTGCTTCCCTCTGCAGAAGCCTGAAAAGCCATGGCGACTCCCTCTGCTGCCTTCGAGGCCCTCATGAATGGGGTGACAAGCTGGAATGTCCCAAAAGATCCTGTGCCCTGTGAACTGTTTCTGATCGGAGAGGCCGCCTTCCCTGTGATGGTGAATGACAAGGGTCAGGTCCTCATTGCTGCCTCCTCCTATGGCCAGGGCCGCCTGGTGGTGGTGTCCCATGAGGGCTACCTGGTGGACAGTGGCTTGGCTCCATTTCTTCTCAACGCAGTGTGCTGGCTCTGCCCCACTCCCGGGGCTCCCGTTGGTGTGCACCCATCCCTGGCAGCCCTAGTGAGCATCCTTCAGGAATCTGCTGTCCAGGCACAGGCTAGGGAAGAACCAGGAGAGCCCACGGGGGTTTACTGCATCAGCGCCTACAATGACACCATGGTGGAGCGCCTGGTCCAGTTTGTGAAGCGTGGAGGGGGCTTGCTCATTGGGGGCCAGGCCTGGTATTGGGCCAGTCAGCATGGCTGTGACAAGGTGCTGTCCAAGTTCCCTGGGAACCAGGTGACAAGTGTGGCTGGAGTGTACTTCACTGACATCTATGGAGACAAAGACCAGTTGAAGGTCTCCAAGAAGGTGCCCAAGATTCCACTTCTTGTCAGGTAAGTGTTGTTCCCCTGTGGGGCGTCTGACGTTAATTAACAGATTTGAGCCTCCGGCCACTGTCAGTGAGCTTTCATTTTAATATGAGTGGTTTTCCGCTCGGTGTCGGAAATCAGTACAAATCAAATCCAGGCTAACTAAAATGCGTTGATGTGTAAGAGGGGCTGCATCCTCACCCCACCCCTCCTATGGCCCGGCTACGGCCAGCTCAGTAGATAAGTGTGTCTTGTTCTCCACTCTCTCCCAGAGCCTGGTGACTAGAACATGTTGTTCCTTGCCGTTGAGTTGCCTCCGACTCATGGCTACCTTGTACGTAACAGAGCAAAACGCTGCCTGGTCCTGCACCATCTTCCAGATGGTGGGCGTGTTTGAGCCCATTATTGTGGCTGTTGTCAATCCATCTCACTGAGGGTTCCCTCATTTTCACTGACCTTCTACGTTACCAACCGTGATGTCCTTTTCTAGCAATTGGTCTTCCCCGCTGACATGTCCAAAGTAAGCAGGCTGAAGCCTTGCCATCCTCACTTCTAAAGAGCATTTGGGTTGTATTTCTTCTAAGACTGATTCTTTTCTCTTATATTTATGGTATATTCAGTATTTTTCACCAACACCACAGTTCAAATGCATTAAGCAGCTCCGGCTCTCACAGATTTCACTGTATAGACAACTTCCTTGGGATGCTTTTCTGGGTCAGTGCTGGCACACAGAGCCTGCAGATTCAAGTTTCCTTCAGCCTTCCTTTGCAGAAAATTGAGGAACCCTGGTGGTGCAGAGGTTGAGAGCTACGATTGCTAAGCAAAAGGGCAGCAGTTGGAATTCACCAGCCGCTCCTCAGAGATCACATGGGGCAGTTCTCTGTCCTATAGGGTCACTAAGAGTCGGAATCGACTTGGCAGCGATCGGTTGTTGTCGCAGGAAGTCAGCCCCGGGACGTTTATAAGCAGCACTGTTTTCTCCCGGAGTAACAGGCTATTTTTTCCTAACTTAATTCATGCTCATGTTTAATTATTTAAAAAGACATAGACTTCAAGCCAAAATATTCAACACTTAGTTGACGTAGTTGGCAAGAATTCCTGGAAGTTTGCGTTTGGAGAATGTGGGTTTCTAGGTCTGCAAACAAGGCCACTCCGTCAGCCTTCAGGATTCCACAGGTCTGTGACGACATCACGTGGCAGAAGCACCTTATTCTGTGTATCACCAGGAGCCCTGGTGGCGCAACAGTTAAGCACTTAGCTAACCCAAAGATCTGTGCTTTGAACCCCCCGGTGGCTCCAAGGGAGAACAACCTGGCGGTCTGCTCCGTGAAGATGGAAAACCCTAAGGGCAGTTCTGCTCTGTTGCATGGGGTCACTGTGAGTCAAAATCTACTTGACGGCACCCAGCAACAAGGAAAGAAAAAATCTGATCGACCAGTCAATTAGAGTGAACAGGGTTGGTTGAGCGAGAAGCTAGCTGTTCTCAAACAGGAAGCACACCAAACTGAAAGAGGGGACTCAAGTTCACAGTTGCAGCATTTTTTAAAGCTTAGATGAGTGTCTTGCTCTTGGCTTTGATTGGTTAATCACATTTAATTTCCCTTTTGTCTTGGGAAAGTTGTTCACTCAGCGCTAAACTGGCGTACCTTGGCTGCAGGAGTGTTGCAAATCCTTGCTGATTAAGCACTGCGAAATCCTACTGAACTTGTGTGGATAAGGAAAACTTGCCTAAATTTGGATTCCATTGTAAAGCTGTTTTTTTTTTGTTGTTGTTGTTTTTAAATAAATGGCCTTATGAGTAATTTCTGTTTGACTCTTGGCCCAGGGAAGCCATTTTAACCTTTTGCCTCTATAAAAAAATGTTAACACTGCCAGTTAAGTGATGAAATGCCACCAGTTGTTAAAGGGTTTAAAAATATGTCTGTCATACAGGAGAAACTAGCACAACTTGTACAAGGAAAGGTCATGGAAGCCCCATAGACAGATCCAAACTCCCTGAGGGACTGAATTGCTGGGCGGAGGGCT